GGGATATATCGTATCGTGACCCCTCTGTCATGATATGTATCGTATCGCCAAATTCTTGCCAATACACAGCCCTAAATTTTACCCATTTTGTCCCATAACTGGCATATTTTCTTTTGAACTTGGTTCAGCCAAAGTGAAACAGGAAGTGACATCAAAGGGGAACTCTTTAACAAAGAAAACTCTCTGGTCTTTGTTTATTGAAACAATATTATTTGAACTCTGACTCTTCTTCATCTCTCTGATAGTGACTCAAAATAATCTAAAGAAACATCAGATTCCTCTCTACAGTCTCTGTTGCTGGCTGTTGTAGCAACGCTCTGTTTACATGCAGACATTCCTCTTTGACATCACTTCCTGTTACTTCACAGGCAAATATCTCAACAACTGTTCATCTCAGCGACATGAAATTTATTTTGCAATATTTTATCAAAGTCCTCTTTCTAGAAATGCATTTATATGTATTACAAAAGTTTGACGTCACAGGCCCTTTAAACAATTAATTGGAAGCCTCTTTTAGGCGTGTACATACTGTAATGCTAACAAATTGATCAATTACACAACTTTTATTAGTAATTTAGACAAAAAACAAATAAGTTTCACAAGTTGGCATAAGTTACCTAAAACTTTACAGAGTGACAAGGCCTTTAGCAACAATGCTGCTCTAAATAATCTGGACGGCCTTGGTAGTGGTCCTTGGACCTTGAACAATACTTGGAAAAGAGACAACATAAAAAGGACTCTGCAGGAAAACTTGGTGGAGCTGCCAACAGGTCTGAAACGTGCAAAACCAAGTGTTCAAGGAAGAATTATTGAATATAAAGACGCTGAAGTGGACCAGAAAAGTCTTTGTCCAGAAGAAGAGACACCGTCCAGTCCCCCAAACAAAGATCACGTTGCTAAAGACAATTGTTGCCAACATTCAGTGAAAACCTGGATAAGTTTGTCAGCAGAGACTTGTTGATGAATGTTTTTTTTTCTTTTTCCAGCAAAAACAGAATCAATACCTTTAAAAGAGAAATGTTACAGTTCAATCTGATCAGATCTGACAGGGTTACTGCTGCCACCTTCTGGATGAAAGCTGTTATGGTCTAGGTCAGGGGTACTGGCCCCGCTGTCCTGCATGTTTTATTAGTTTCCCTGCTCCAGCAAACCTGATTCAGTCATTAAATAACTTAAGCCTGTTAATCACCCCTTTATTCAAATCAGATCTAAGTGCTTTAATGGAAAATGTTGCTCAAAGTCTTGTTTTAACTCATGTGTATTAATAACATTATTTTAAAGAAAATACTATTCAGTGGACATCACCATGAACATGTAATACGCTGTCAGCAACAACATGGACATTTCAAGCCCTAGAAGTAATTTTATGAGGAGAACAATTCCTTATAGGAGGGGCTGCAGAGTGGAATTCACTCCCATCTAGTTTTAGGGAAATCAAACATCCTAACATTTTTAAGAAAACCATAAAACAAAAACTATTGTATTGAAAGTATTGCATATTTTTGTTTATTATTGTAACTGTTTGAGAGATATGTGGTTTTGCAGACTGCATGGGTGTATCAAGTGGCCGGTGTGAGGCTTTTATAGCTTTTAAAACTCTGTTGAAATGAGTATGTATGTTTTATTCATGTGTCTTAGTAATTGTATTTTTGTATTTTGGTTTTATGGACCCAGGAAGACTAGCAACCACTGCCGTGGAAGCTAATGGGGGTCCAAAAAATTAATTAATTAATTAATTAATTAAAATAAACAGGAATGTATAGCCTTCAATAAAAGGTATCACAAATAAAGAATAAAATCCCTACTAAAGTCCATGTAATAAGAAAACAAAAGCTGTGAAAGATTTTATTTTTTGTCACAAGGACAAAGTTTTGAAAAAAAAAAGAAAGTAGTTTAAGTAAAAATGCACCAAACTGAAGCTCTGTCAGGAAACAAAGCAGAGATCACGTGAAGTCCAACCACATGTGTGAAACATGATACTGCAGCTACACAAAACTCCTGCTTTCTGTCCATAAGTCATAGTCTGAGCAACTGAGAAACTTCACTCTGGTCTGAGTTTATCAAACATTTGTTTTCAGGGAGTGAGGGCTGCGTTTGGTTTGAACAACAGCTGCAACTCCAAAAAAAAAAAAAAAAAAAGAAAAGAAAAAAAATTACAAATTATATACAAATCTAAGAAACACCCACTCATACAAAGCCGACAACCGTTTGCACACAGGTACACACCCACATTATCGTGACAGTTCTGCACAGCAGCTCGTTTTGTTAGAAGCTACACGTACAATGTAAATAAAACACCCAGTTACAACACAGTAAAAAACTACATTTCAGTAGAAAGCCTTTAAACCAGTTCAAACGCAGCTACTTCCAGCATGAATCAGCTTTTCTCCAAACACTGTAAGCTTTGAGGAAATCTGCTCATACCGTCAACGTTTCTTTTTTTTTTTGATACGTTGTTGCTTTAACCTCACCTTCTGCCACAGGGCTTCTCTGGAGGCCAGGCTGGAACAGGCGGCCACAAACCAGCAGTTTCCCAACTGGCCTTGATGCAAGTCATGGGCACTGATGCCGTCCACGAACAGATGGGGGTCGCTGCACAGCTCCTGCGAGGAAAAGTTCAACGTGGTCAGTGTTGCAGATGCTTTGTCTGGTTTTTAATTTAATAAAGATGACACGATACTTGCAGTTATTTAAAATTTGTTCTTTGTATTCTCTAAGTTTTGCTGGGACCCACGGTAGTTGGATGTGGTCTGACTGGTGTGGATAAATAAGAAGCAGGGTGTTACCTCGTGTGTTCAGTCTACCATAAGTAGATAAGTACAAAGTAAATCCACCATCCAATTAAAAAAAAACACTTTGCTTAAAGCAAAACAAACCACAGAGCAACAAAGATACAGAAGAACTGGACAGGAACCAAATGATAGAGCCAGGATAAAACAGCGCACACACCCAGAAAACCACCACCTCTGTGGAAACCCATCTTACACAAACCTCTTATATCATGTCTGGATTATAAAGAAGATAAAATATTTAAGTTAGTGAACAGCTGATGTAGTGGCAGCTGGTTTGTGTTTCCTTTGGGCAGCACCCACACAAGCTAAATCCTGATCCAACTTTCCACTCAGAAGCAAATATTTGTCTTGACTCTTTCAAAGTGACCAAACGATACTAAATAAAACTAAATAAAAGCACCTCACATTCCTCAGAGTCACAGCTCTTTAAAGTACATATCATGTCCACAATCACATATTTAGTGAGTTTAACTTCCTAGAAGGGTTACTTCTGATTCCTCGAGTTTCTAACAATAGAAAGAGACACTGTTTCAGCCGTTAGGCTCCTCTCAGGTGATCATGAGCCATCTCTTTATTATGTTTACTAAAGATGATTTTATATTGATGGAGGTGAGTTCTAATCATACAGATGACCATAACTCTTCATTTACGAGTAGATTTTATAACTGTGTACACGTGTTTTCTTTCTAGGTATTCTTATCCTGGTGGGTTTGGTTGAACACGTTCCTGACATTACAACAAGCTGAGGCAGATGGCCTGACTTTGTAACTCTGGTTTTTCTGGATTTCTCTTACTGATGAAAGCGACTTCTCTGCAGGGCAGAGTGTCGCCCTGTACACGCCGGGGACATAATTATTGTGATATTTAATTAAATATATTGGTGTTTTTAACAAAACTTGCATTTTACAATTTAACTGAACTGGTTCATTACTGGAATTAATTTATTGAATTTATCCTCACATTACTGTGGCCTCAACAGTTATTCGAGTTAGAGAACTACTGATTTAGTGTGTATTTCAAATAACTGGGTGTAGGAATGGATACATCTACCACAATGCATCGCGAAATACTTATAATTATCTGTAAAAAAAGTAAATCTGTGTGTTTTGTTGAGAACCTTACAAAAGTGAGTATTTAATTTTGCTTATCGTGAGTGCATTTAAGACATTTACACCATGTTGTAACTTGAAAGCAGATTTTTGTGAACCATGAGCTGGAATGAGCCCAAGCTGCAAAACAAAAACATTTTTGTCATAATAGAGATTATTCAATAAAGACACCATCTAGTGAGTAAAATATATATATATCTATATATATANATATATATCTTCTTGATCAAAAATAATCTTTTTAATTCTAATCTTTATGATTTCCTTTGAAACATAGTTTTTTCTCTGCCAGCTGCAGTGCATAAAGTTTTAAATAAAACCTGGTTTGATCCATTAGCACTTTCAGTATGTGTTTAGGATTACTCTCAGCTACCACCACACCAAATTCTAGCTCAGTAATGGTGAAACTGTCTGAATTGTGGCCATTTTTGCTGCTAAAGTTGATTAGATGTGAAGGCCACCTTTAATTAATTTGACTCAAACAAGTATTTAGTTCAGTGTACGTCCAATCATTACTTTCTGAGAGTTTCACTGAACTATGACTGCTGGAGCATGAGATATTTTGCTAACAAGCTAGTAAACATGCATAATCGCCCACCCTCCATGGCAGCGGGGGATTTTTAAAAACTATAAAACTATACCTCAAATATTTATTTGCATAAAATGTCATTTTTTGGAGCAGTTCTTGCTTGTTCAATTAATACAAATACTACAAGATTAAAACTGAATAATAATTGTTGGCAAACACGTTACTTTTGTTTTTAAACTTTGAAACTGCAGTATGTGTAATCACCTCAATAAAATCTAAATTCTGTTAATTTTATTGTCTTTTCAACTGAGATTAAAGCAGAGAAGGTTTGGATTAATCTGAATGCATCCATAACTCTGATAAGACTTTTATTTTGGTTCATGCTTATCATTAGTTGGAGGTTTTGTGAAGTATGTATTTGTGTAAAAGATTATGTTAACCATATAACAATAAAAAAAGGTTCTGTCCCTTTACTCTAAAATAAGATCTATATAATTGATCTCCTGGTGTACTTTCAGTTTCCTGTTGAATTATTTACCTGCTCATTATTAATGGTTGACCATAAAAGCACATAAAACACGCGGGGTTTTGACCTGTGGGTGATTTCATGCTTTTAATGATCAGAATGTGGTCAGTGAAAAACATCTTGAACCTGTTCAAAACCAAACATAAACCCAGAGGAAAGGACTGAATGAGAGAAAACACATTTACCACCAGCTGCTGCTGGCAGACTCTGGGTTAACTCTTTAAGTGCTTTAAATGGGCGTGTGGGTATATTACAGAGGCTGCGTAAACCTCAGCACAGATAAGATGAAAATCTATTCAGCAATAACTCCATTAAGAGCCTCTCGTTCCTGCTGGAGTTACACTTCAAAACTCACTGCCGAAAACAAGCGGCTCAGTAAAACGCAGCAGATGACCGAAAATTTAATTTTAAATAATGCAATAATTAAATCAAACATGAAATGAAATTTTGTTCCAATTGGACAACAGTGCATTTATGTTGACTAGTTTTGATTTTTATCTGTTTTTGATGCGTTCAACTGGCCTGGAATAACAGATGGAAAAAAGCCCGTGGCTAAATCTGAAACAAAACATCTTTTCTAAGAGAATAATGTTGTGTAAAACACACAAACCTGGACATTTACATCATGTGAATCACTCTAAAAAAAGTTTTGTTCCTTTAGTAAACAGTCACTCAGAAATTGTTCCAGTTATGAATGAATTTAAACAAAACCTTTTCTTGATTTATAACCATAAAAACAAGAGGCCCGCGGGCCGCCAGTTGAATAGCCTTGCAACTAAACCATAAGTCATTAGCCTTTATTTTGACGGGTTGCTTTTGTCAAAAAAGCTTTCATTTTGTCGTGAACATTCTGGGACAATAACGGCACCATTTTTTGGAGAAGTGTTGTCGGTGACATCTCCAGGTGTGGAGGAAGATGAGGATCTTCAAGAAAACGAGGAAGATGACCAAATTCACTTAGAACTGAAGGAAAAGACGTAATATTAAAAAGAAAACAGAAAATAAGATGGAGACAGAAGCAACACATTAGATGGAAAAAAAAAATCACATTTGCAGATGACAGAAGGAAACATGTAGTCAAGTCCCAGCACAATAAAAGATGAGAATAACTCAAATACAGACAATAAACATGCTTGTAACACGAACAAAAAGAGGTAAGACGGGAGCAGGTTTGTTGTCAACAAGAAGGCAGCAGAACTTAAAGTGTTACTCAAGTTATCTGTTGAAAACTCCTGGACTTTTTCATAATGCAATATATATTTAAATTGCAGCGTTAGGAAAAATCACAATGTCAGTGTTTTTTTCCAATACTATACAGCCCTAGCCTGGCCCTTGCCTTCCTACACAGTTCTGCTCAATTCTATTTTCTCTTCACTGCTCCATCTGGGATTTCTCCCATAGACAAGGATTTCTTCAGGAGAATTTCATTTGGGCCAATCAGAGAACAGAAGGTGGAGTTTTGAACGACAACATCGATTTTCTGCTCAATGTCTGCTTGTTAGTTCAGCAATGGCAGCGGAGGAAGTGAATGAAGCCAGTCTGTGTTGATAAGACTTCCAAATTAAATTAAATTTGTCTGACAAAGCAGCAGCTCTCATTTGTCAATTTCCGGTTAGCTTTTTAGCTTAGCCTCCTTCACAGTGAACATACGTCGCGGCCAACAGATCCAATCATTATAAACTTCAGCAGAGGCCACACCTCCAACAAGAATCACTTCTCTATAGCCAAGAGTCCAGACCCTCATACGAAGCAAAGTGAAGGACAAGGGTCTGGTTTTTACCAGGCTAATGCAGCCCTGGTAGGAAAAATAAAAAATAAAAACTTGGGAAGTACTGATTAGAAAAACTCTGACGCATTTCCTTTTGAAGGGAAAACAACTGAACAAACTTCAGTTGAGTGTTGGACTGCTCTGTGATATTTCATAGAATTTAAGGAAGTAAACACTTTCAGTTAAGAGCAGTCAGGAAAAGACCTGCTGTCTCTGGTTTACATAAGGTGCACCATTTTAGGATGTTGCAAAAAAAAATGCTCTACTAAATATTAGTATCACAAGTTCTGCAGCATCGGCTATGTGGTATTTAAAACAGCAAATAAAAGTTTTACACACACACATGCAATTGAATACAAAAACAAAGCTTCTTTCAGAGGGTTTAAGAGAAATTCCTTAAATTCCTTCCCCTGTTCAGTCCATTCAACATCTCCTCTGTTTATATACAGGCTTGTCTCATGGCCACCAGCCCTCATTCCCTACCTACTATTGTCCCAATTCACTGGTGGAGCTTTGAAATATTTAGTAATAGTACAATAAAAAAGTATAAAATGTCAGTTCAGTTAGTTTAACGCAGTAAACAGTGAGCTCACAGGCTGTGTGAGAGAACAAAAACCAAACATTTATTCTTCTTACCCTGGGTCTTTTCCAGGTGACTCGGCCGATTTGATTTTTCTGGTAGAACAGAGACTGGTCCGACGCCGGGAACAGAGGGTCTTCAAACAGAGTTTTACTCTGTTGGCATTTCTTCTTCAGAGCGGAGAAGGACTGGCCTTCGTATGGGACCACCATCCCTGCTCCTGAACACAAAGACACTGGAGGTTTGTAATGATCCAGCCATGACGCGTCACCACTACCCACTTTGACTCTCCTCTGGTCTAATCGGTTTTGATGGTTTTTAATTGAATTTGTGAGCCACCTAAATGGGGGCGGGACCGTTATGGCAAAATGAGAGTTAGTCCAAGAAGAAACCATCAAGATCCCAAACACTAATGCTTCCTAATCTACCTTTAAATTCAATGTTTTTAAACAGGATTGTCTTCAGGATTAATCCTTTAATTGACCATTTTCTTCTCCCGGCTGCCGTAGAGCTGGGAAATCCCTTCATGTTATGTTTGGCATCATGAAGCTTGAGGAACCCCTTTATAAATACGAAGTCAAAAAACCAGCACTTTCAGACAAAACTAGCTTGTTCCCAGGTGATACATCACAAACTTTTAACAAACAACAAACAGTTTTGAAGTTTTGCGATGAAGAACTTGAAAATAAAATAACTCAATGTTGAAATAATTTCTATCATGACTCTTTTTTTCAGCACATATCCTATTATATGTTTATTTATTTATTTTATTTTTTTTTACATATTATGGCTTGTTTTCCATTATCAAATTAGGCTTTCTGAGGCGATTATCATCAATAAATCAAACTTCTGGTTTAATTAAGATAAAAAAAATTAAAAAAATACTCATCTACTCTGAATGCTTCAGATCTGGGAAACGATATTTTCACAAAAATCTGCATTTCTTAAAAGTGACAGTTTAATGTTAGCAATTTATAAAGACATCAAAGATTGGAAATTGGAAAAAAAGTCAGAACTAGCTGCCCCCTTATCTTGGTAAATGAGTCACAACTTTAAAAATGGTTATAAAGAGAATAATTCAGACAACGGAGGACACAGTGGGCAGTCACTTCCTGCAACTTTTAAAACCACGAGACCACAAACTCTGCAGGCTGAAGCTGTGCTTCGAGTCCACACGGTGCGTGGATAAGGATTAATAACATAGATACATGCTTTTAAAACATTTTAAGACTCTTAAAACTTGCGCACACACACGTACACACACACAGAAACAAATGTACTTGATCATAAAAGGTCTCCTATATTAGCCATGCGACAGGATGACAAACAGAAACTTGGACAGTCGTGTTTGATCACAGATCTCAAAGTAAACACGTGATGAAGCGTGTCTGTGTGCTTATTTAGCAACATGATGGCGCAGTCCTAAAAGAAGCTTCCTGTCACAAAAAAAAGACATGGTGTGTGTAAATATGCCTTTTAAAGATAACAAACTGAACATTTTTGTGAGACTCATTTATGGACTGAATAAATATTATGCAAAACATTAAACTGAGAAGAACAAAGTATTTGAATCTGGTTGTCATTTGTAAACAATATAAACTAATTTATGTCCCACACAAACTGGATTGGAAAATGTGCAAATACTTAAACCAATGGGTAATAAATTAAACCTAAATGCAGCGAACAAAGCAACTCATTTAGAGGATTCTGGAGCAACAGTTTGTGAAAAAAGACTTTACTAAAACTAGTCAGAATCATGTGGGTATGTGTTTTCCTTTGTAGCTTAAAGTCACAAGGTTGCTTGTTGCTTAAGCAGAAACAAAAATAATAATACTCATGTAAAACTTGTTAAATATGTATATACTGTGTACAATTTTAGAAGAACTGAAGTGAAATGTGATAAAAGGTTAAAGTGCCTGTGACATGCCTATCCTTCAAATACAAAATGTCAAAGAAAAAAATCTTTATTCTTAAGACAATTGGCATAATAAACATGATTTTACACATTTTGTCTCATAACTGGCCTATTTTCTTTAGGATTTGGCTCAGCAAAAGTGAAACAGGAAGTGACATCAAAGGGGAACTTAATAAAATAAACTCTCTGGTCTTTGTTTATTAAAACAAAATTATTTAAAGTTTACCTCTTCTTCATTTCTCTTTGATAGAAACTCAAAATAATCTAAAGAAACATCAGATTCTTCTCTACAGTCTGTTGTTAGCTGTTGTAAGAGCATTCACACATTCAGACATTCACCTTTGACATCACTTCCTGTTTCTTCACATGCAAATATCTCAACAACTGCTCATCTCAGTGGTGTGAAATTTGTTTTGCGATATATTTTCAATGTTTTCTTTCCAAAAACGCATTCATGTTTATTACAAAAAATTGGTGTCACAGGCACTTTAAGCTTATTTTATACTGTCCATCTTTAATGCCAGAGTTTTAACAGGCAGATAACGTTAAGTTTACACATTTATGCTTTTAAATTAGTTCACAATGTTAATTTCAGTATTATAAATTGAGACATATGCAAAAAAAGACCAGGGATTTCACATGTTTTAAGTGTTACCCTTTGATGTCACTTCCTGTTTCATTTTGGCTGAGCCAAGCTGAAAAGAAAATATGCCAGTTATGTGGGTAAAATCATGTGTATTAAGTCAAGTTTCTTAAATATAAAGATGTTTTCTTTGACTTTTTGTATTTGAAGGAAATTCATGTCTCAGGCACTTTAAAGTGTCATCACTATATATGTGGTAGAACAGCTTAATTTTAGCCTTTAAAGCTCTGTTTAAGGTGTTTTTTTTTTTTTCAATCAGTAGCTGACACCGATGTTTGACAATGGCTCAACCAGCAGAAAAATAATCCTGGGTGTGGTTCCATGCAAACAGTACCACAGATATGTGTGACAGCCAAACAACATGATGGCATTTCACAAGAAGTGTAAAAAAAATCAATTAAAAGTTGACTTTTAGATGCATCCAAATGGTTCATCCTTTTCCACTTTGCTAAAAAAAGTTTTATAAATTACTTTTTAAGGCCTGCAGAGATGCACATGATGACATGTAGTCTCCAAAATATAAATACACTTATAGTTTAAAGTTATGTGTTTTTTTATGTTTGAGTATAAAACGTCATAATACCACAACTACATTTAAATTTTGTGTTTAATATTAGACAGGAGTTGATTTACTTTCAAATTAAACAAACAAAAAATATTTAATGGAAAAAATATATGATTTGGCTAAAGTTTGTTTGCTAAATTAGCATTAGCTTGATTTGGCTTTGATGTGAGGAGATTCTTCTTCGTGTAAAAGAAAAGAAAACGAAACTGCGGATAAATATTATTAAGAATATTCACGTTGTCCAATAAAGCCGGAAACAGTTTTTATTATTTAAATTGTTTGACTAAACCAAGGTGGTTAAATAATGTTAATAAACACGTCGATAACGGTTCGAATTAACGAAGCTCAGCGGTGAAATTTCACCGAGATGCAAAAAAAAAAAAAAAAAAAGTCGACTAACTTCAACTAATTAAACTTTACCTTTTGTTTACGCTCCTTGAACGTCTCACACTGTAGCCGCTCTGCTCACGGAGGGATTTTCGATGTCTTTTCAAGCAGTCAGCTCGGTGACTGAAGCTTTTCGGATGGAGCTGATTAACTTTACGACCCTCGAAGTCAAAACGCAGCCGAGCAGGAGGAGCTCCAGCGCCGCATAGGACCTCAAACTGAGCAGCCCGCCTTCACCGGGGATGCGTTCAAGATCTGCATGGACAAACGGAAACCACTCAACTTCAACGCAACTCAACCAAAGCAACTCCATCTTAAATCGTTCTCAAAGCAGGCAACACACATGTGCGTATTCTAAAAAAAGTATCGGTATCTGTAATTCTATAAACGTAGGTGTAACTTTATTTTTTATTTGGGTGTATTTGATCACGTAAAGACATAAAACAGAATCAAAACAAGCCATGTTGTGTTTTCTACGACGACGCCATGAACGCCACAAACATTCTTCCTAATTTAATTTAACAAGTATGTAATCTGGTGGTAAAAACAAATTCTTAATCTTTTCTGCTAAATCTAATGTATTGATGGAAATCACAAGTTTTTGATAAAAGAAATATGCATAATTTCATAAAATAATGGTAAATGTAGAAGAAAATTAATAAAAGTAGTCCAATAATTGCTGACATTATGCCTCCTAAGTGGCATACTAAGAATATTTTTTCAGCCAAAAATATTTTGAATCACAAAACTCTGCTGTTGTTTTGTGGGTCAGTAACTGGAAAGTTTGGGAACCGCTTATGTTCTCCAAACTGTGTAAATCTGCATTTATTTCAGTAACTGAGAAAACAATGACATTTGTTTTTTGAGTAGATGCTTCAAAATGTCAAATCAAACAATACAAAACCAGACCAAAATTTGTTATTATGTATGTAAAAACTTTTGTTAGATTATGTAATTTACTCCTGACCTCTGGTGGTGTGCTGCAGTGATTACAAGGAGATGGGGAGTCATCTAGGGCTCAGGAATTTTACCAATTCGAATACAAACTGGACTTTTTCTTTTTTTTAGATATATAAAAAGATTTTGTTTGCAGCAATTTACCAGCAGGGGAAAAAATGCAATAAATGGTTCAGGTGACACTGAGGAGAAGTCACAAGGAGGCACAAGGAAGACCAGATGTGGCATAAAGCACAACAATGTTCAACTGGAGATGAAGGACAACTGAGGGACATATAGTACTGTATATAAACTTGTCATAAAACATAAGGAAATTTTTGTTTGTTAGATTATTTCTTTGTTGCAACAATAGTCAATAACAGTAAAATAAGTTGTTTGCCAGAGAAGATTTGGCAAGTTTATTATCTGTGCAACCCACACACTAAGCTCCACTGCTCATCCCACAAATGCATGTTCCTTACAAATGTGGCCCCATTTAAAATGGAAATTAACAGGCTTTCTAACGTTATAAGATTTATTGCCAAGAAGCATTTCAGCAATGAGTTTTCTGCCCTCGTCCATGAATGTGTTGTCCATTTCTCATCCTTGGATAAATGTTGGTTCTCTGACATGAAACAGCTCTCGTGGAACCAAGGTTGGCACGGGGATTGGAACCCTGAACCCCTGATCTTTCCAAATTAAAGTCCTGTGACTTAGCCACAGAGTAGAATGCACATACATGATCTGTCTAATTTTATACTCCTTGTTTTTTTATGTAAGCGTAAAGCTGTCAGCTGACAGAAACAGTCCCACTGTCATTAATCTTTAACGTCCTCAGAGAAGACATCCCCGGCGTCATGTGAGACACTGCACTTTACTCTTCGCTGGAGGAGACTTTAACAGAAAAAGACCCAACAATTTCACACATGGAGGAGTAAAATGTGTGAATATGGAGAAAACAAGGTAAAACCAACAAAATGGACACGGACTGGATCAGGTATTTATATTTTTATACATTTTAAGTTTTAGTTATAGAGATTGCTGTTTATTTAACACAGATGAACAAAAAAATCAGATCTTTTGTGTGAGTGACTTGTAAATACATTACAGAAAACAAATTGGTAAACAAACTTTATTTTAACATCTTCTAAACAGAAGTTTAGTGAATATTTGAAGGATTTAAATTGTTTGGTCTCTAAAAGCTCCACTTTATGAGCTCATTTCAAAGATGGACCTCTAAATGTAATTTTTTTTCTGTCAGTGTTGAGGCTGGTATGTATGATAAAACATATTTAGCTCCTGTGATCATTTCAACAGAAACGTTTCTTTTTGTTTGTAACTTTAGCCCTGCTGTGTTCTCAGCTGTGACTCGTTCGCTGCACTTGAACCATAAAAATTCAGCTGACTTTTTGTTTCATCCGCAGGTTTAAAATGTTAACGAGGTGGTTAACTTTCATGGCTTTTCTGGCCGGATCAGCAAATTCGAGAAGCGCAGATTCTGACTGGAGGGCTGTGACTGTGGTGTCCATCTGTAGGGTCAAAGGTCAACCAGAGGTGGAGCTGATTTTAAACTGCGGGGATGGAAAACATGAAGGTGAGGCTGAAGATTCTCATTCAGTTCATCATATTTTAACAAACAGGAAATGCTGTGAGAACCTGTCAATGTTTGACTTTCTGTAAAGCTGCATGCTAAATTCTGAGTTTTATAACAAATATCAGATTGAACTGGTCTTAAACTGGATTCTTATCACCTGCCGCCTACATCATTAGATCTTATATTGAGAAATAATGAAGTTAAAGTAAGTTTAGTCAAACATAAGAAGTCATAATATAGAGCAATCTGTTAGTGTTTGGAGTATGTGTTGGGTATGATGCTCAGCTACTACCACAACAAATCTTAGATCAAGATCTGTAAATAACCAGCAGTTATAGATATCTTTGTGTTTTGGTTATTTGCATTTAGCATAGTCAATAATGACAGCAATAACTGTGAATGCAAACATGAACGAGTAAAAACAGCAGCAGAACAAAGGGATTTCTGAGGAAACCTAAACTAATCCTAACTATAGGATTTATCAACAAGGAAAGTCTTAAGTCTTAAATATAAACAACCTTCATGACATAAGTTGGTTCAGTCTGAGCCTACAGCAGCATGACTAAGGGATTCCTGAGGAAACCTAAACTAGTCCTAGTTAAAAGGATTTATCAATAAGGAAAGTCTTAAGTCTAGTTTTAAAAGTAAACATGCCTCACCAACAGGTATCAGTTGGTTTCATAAACGTTCTGCCTCCCATTCTACTTTTAGAAACTCTAGGAACCATGTGTAAACCAAAGTCTGAGTAAGAAATAAAAATATGGAGCAACATCTTTAATATAAGAACTTCTTCAGGAAGTGGTTGTGAAATACAGTCAATATTTCCCTCAAACTCTTGGAGATGGTAGTTTATAAATAAAATGCTAATGTGATACATTCTGTAATTTCCCATCTTGTTGCAGGTTGGGTCCAGTTCTGGCACACTCCCTTTGGAGACCTCCAACCTTCTTCTGGACACACCAGCTCTGTGTTTGTGCACCACAATGGAAGTCTGGTGATCCCCAGGCCAGGCCGCCTCCACAGCGGGATGTACTACTGCGTCCTGCAGCACTCAGAGCGATCCACGCTGTGGCCGTACGAGCTCCACGTCGGTTACATTGACCAGAACACAGATGACAAAAATGAGCAGGACAACAGCTGTGCAGCTCACAGAACCAAGACGAGCGTCAGGAATGAGGGGGTGAAGGATGGGGTCTCAGACGGGATGTTTGTAGGAGCTGTGGTGGCATCGGTGCTGGTGACGTTTGTGGTGGGATTCAGTGCTGGAGCTCTGACAAGATCCTATGTTCTCAGGTTTGTTTATCTGACGTCACATTTTTACACATTCCTTGCCTTTATCACCAGCTGCTGAAAGTTAACTGTTAGCAAAATATTTCACCATTCAGTGGATGGATTTTAAAGTAAATTTTCAGAAAATACTCATACGGCTGTAGTGACTCAAGGTGGTCACTAGGGGTGCAACAATACATCGAGCCACGATAAACAATCAATTCAACCAGTGGTGTACAAAGTCAGTCCTCACGACAGAGTGTTAGGGCCACACAATGAGATTTTTTTAAATGACAAGAATAAAGTCATAACATTACGAGATTAAAGTCATAATATGAGAATAAAGTTGTAATATTACAAGAATAAAGTCATAAGAGAATAAGGTCATGATATTACAAGAATAGTCATAACATTATTCTCATAATGTTATGACTTTATTCTCATAAAGTCATAACATTATGAGAATAAAGTCATATGAGAATAAAGTCATAATATAAGAATAAAGTTGTAACATTATGATTAAAGTCATGAGAATAGTCGTAACATTACAATATTTGTCATTAAATGAGAAGTCGTAACATTACGAGAATAAAGACATGAGAATTAAGTTGTCATATTATGAGAATAAAGTTGTCATATTATGAGACTGAAGTAAAATGAGAATAAAGTCGTAATATTACAAGAATGAAGTCATAATGTGAGAATAAAGTTGTAATATTACGAGAATAAAGTCATAATATGAGAACAGTTGTAACATTACAAAATTTGTCAATTTGAGAAGTAACATTACGAGAATAAAGTCGTATGAGAATAAAGTCATAATATGAGAATAAAGTTGTAACATTACGTGATTAAAGTCAAATGAGAATAGTCGTAACATTACAAAATTTGTCATAATATGAGAAGTCGTATCATTACGAGAATAAAGTCATATGAGAATAAAGTCGTAACATTATGAGAATAGCCATAATGAGAATAAAGTCGTAACTTTTTTTTTCTGCTTGGCCTTCAGAGCCCCCCAAGCAAGACCTTGATGGCATACTGAGGAGGCCTACTAATTGAACACTCTTTAGGTTCAGCTGTGTTGAACCAGGGCAGCACCTAAAACATACTGGACACCGGCCCTTGAGGACTGACTTTGGACACCACCGAATTAAACAATGGATTAAATTACATCAAGGCAAAACGTAAACATTGATCGATTTCGTCATGTCCAATGTGTATCAATATATCAATAGACTTGTGCATTGAATCAGAATCGTATCATGATAAATATATCGTCATCCAAAAAAATAATAAAATCAGTAAATCAACCCATCGTGATAGAACTGCTGATTTACACCACTAACAGTCACTACGGCAAATCAAACTTAACAGACACAAAAATGATTTGACAGTCGCTCAAATTTGGTGTGGTAGTAGCTGAGAGTCACCTTCAACACATACGGAATAGCAAAAAAAATATCCAACTGAAAGGATGTTCATAAAAAGAAGCGAGGTTCCTCAGGGCTCTATACTCGGTTCACTGATGTTTGTTCCTTTAACATGCTCTTATTTGGTGCCATTCTTACTGAATATTCTCCTTCAGTTGCCATGTTGAGGCCTTAAAATTTGCACTAACATTTGATTGAGCAACAAAAATCAATATTTAGATTTATTTGAAACATTAAATCCTGTTTTCTAACTCCTCAGGTGTTGGCACGCTGTCATCATGAGGCTGAGGTCACCGAAGCAACGCCGCCGCCAGGCTGACATGCCGGACCACAGTTCGCAGGTCATCATAACCTTGCCTCCCATGCACGAGAGCCACACGTTTGAGACAGAAACGACGTGCGACGAATCTTCAATTTGCGGGAATGTGGGGAGCAGGGTGTCTGTGACGACCCCGTCGCCACCCGCCAAACCCAAAAGAAGCTTCCGGAACAGAGAGGAGAAAATGAGAGACGCTGCATATTTGGAGGGATGTGACTACACAGAGGAGAGGATGGAGGAGGCGGGAGGAAGCGTGGGAGCAATTAAAGAAGGGAGTGATGAGGAGGAAACCCCTCAAAGCTTTTTCTGCCTTGAAGATGAAGAGCTTCAAAGTGAAACGGATGAAGATAAAATTATAGATGAAAGAAAGGAGAAAGAGGAGACAGGAGGAGGCATGGGAGCATGTAAATGGAGTGATGAAGAGGAAACCACTCAAAGATTTTTCTACTTAGATGATGAAGAGCTTCAAAGTGAAACAGATGAAGATAAAATTACAGATGGAGAGAAAGAGGCGGCGACAGATGAGCAGGAGAAAAGAAGTGAAGAGGAGGTGGGGGGAGAGAAGGAAGAGGAGAAAACAGAGGAGGTTAAAGAGACAGAACGTTGTGAGGAGTTGGACCAATCATCTGCAGGAGCTGAGAGAGGAGGTGAAAACAAAGAGACGACGATGGAAGACGAGGCGGCGACCTCGTCCTCCGCTCCTCGCCGTCGTGTCATCCGTGTGTACCAGTACGACGAGGAGGGTCAGAAATACTGCCACCTCCCAGACCCGGGCCCTGAAGGTCCAGAACCCGTACCTAAACTCAGGCAGCGCTCCCTGTCTCTGACACGCCTCAACGCCATCATGGCAGCTGCCGCTGCTGGGCCGATGGAGGCGAGAGAGAGTGAGGAGGCGCCTCACTTCCACATGGAGATTTAACTGTTTCTTGTGAAAAACATGAAAGAGTTCAACAAAACCTTTTATCCAGAACCAGAATGTTTGGAAACTGAGCAGCAAATCCACAAAAATCACATTTTTTTAACGACTACAGGAAGTCTCTAAATTCAAAACACTCACTTAAAGCACTAAACAAGTTTTTTCTCCCATTATTTTTAAAAGCTAATTAATTTATTTTGATCATCCAAGACAGATGGAAGAATTAGAGAATAAATTAATAAATAGATCAGTTTTGTTTCTTCTACATTCACTAAATGAAATAACTGATCAAGATTTGTTGCCTATTTTCTGCAGAACTGAAAAATCATTCTGGATTATCAAAAACAAATGTTTGATTGTTGCTACTTTAAAAGAAAAGGCATCAACTTAAACCAACATCACCTCCTTTCATGACAGTTTTACATCAAATTTATAACAAGTCATATTCAAATCATAAAAAAATTATTTTATGTGATTTCCTAAATGACTTCCAGCTACATCTGTAAATTCGACTGAATTGACTTCAAAGGTTTCAATTTTATTTACTGTAAGTTTCACTGAATTCTCCAGCGGTTCATGAGATATTTTGTTAAATATTTTCCAAACTTTCAAAAAAATAAAATAAAGGGGAAGTAAAGGATGAACAGATCCAACACCTCAGAACATGTTGGTGATGACTCTCAGCTACTACCACACCAGTAACGTTTGTAAAACTATTCACTTCTGGTGTTTGTTTGGCCAGTATTTGCTGCAGCGGCCATCTTGAACAGGGCTCCAAAGGTTAATTAGTTGACGTTCAGCCTTTTTTCAAGTTTCGTTAAAATTCACCTAGTGGTTGAAACGATATTTTGCTAACAAACATGATGTTGAACAGGGTTCTATCTAATGAGAAATGTTTCCTTTGAGAAAAGAAAAAAAATCAGGAAACCAACTGATGACACTCCTTGCAGCTCCACAGATGACGTGAGATCTGATAAATCTGTTGAGCCCAACTTCAGTCTGGATACTTTCTCTGCATTGAAATTTAAATGTAAAATTAATATTTGAAAAAGCTTTTAATTAATTATTTATCTGGCACAGATTTAATTATTTTATTCTGCTCAGAGTTACACTTGTTAAAAAAAAAGTTTTGTTTAAATAGTTAAACTGAGACATCAGACGTGAGGAGTTACTCATGACGATTAAATGCATCAATTAGTGAAGTGCACTCGTGCCTAATAAGTGCTTGGTGACAACCCTCCACGTTGCACCGATTATTCTGAAGTCGCTTCTTGTTCTTCCACCTCCTCAATAAACCTGAAAATATCTAAACAACACAAAACAGGAAAAAGTATCAGGAAACAACCTCCACAGATCCTTTAGTCCATTTAGTTTCCTTTAAGAACTTTTTACTGAATCTTTCTTCCAATCTAACGCTATAAAAAAAGAAAAAACTTATATTCTGAAAGGGTCCTTAACAACAGCTGGACGATGAGACAGAGAATCTGAGGGGATCTGAGTGAATCTAGAGTCCACAGCGGGTTCTGCGGTCCATGCTTATGAAACCAGAAACCGTTTTGCCTCTGCAGTTTGTAGTTTTGGTTTCCTCTTGTTGGCGATGTGAAGTCTATGAAGACGATGACCTCGTCTTCTGCCATTCAACAAACTCGTCTAGCAGCACCGGCCCTGCAGACAAAAACATGTATCTACTCTTCACTGCTCAGGCTGTCAACACCATAATAAAAATAATCCGTTTCTGGATCGACTTGTTGGAGTGAAGCTGGAAACTCACAAGCTCCGTCTTCATCGTAGTTACTGAGGTCTGTGTTGATGGTCCTGCTGAACTCCAGGATATTACACCACTGGTCTTTATTTAAGCCTTTGTACTTGGACTGCTGTAAAACATTAACGGGACAGTGACAGAAGAGGGGTTAAGATAACCAAACTGCATGTTGCTCAAGTGTGGAAAATTAGTTGTAGATGTCACAAAAGCACAAGATGTTGCCAACAAACTGTAGCATCAGCTTAAAAACAGGAAACTTAATTAAAAATTAGTCTTCAGCAGGGATTTGAAAAACTTTAAAGCCTAAAATCTACAAATATTAAGCTTTTAATCTGAATCTTGGGAGGTCTGGTTCTGTCATCTGATCACTCGTATAATAAAAACAAAAATACTTCTTTTGCAGATCTTTATAATTTCTTTTCCGTTTGGTTTTTAACATCAAACATTTTATACACAAAAGAATAAAAGTGATTTTACCTCCAGGAACTGGTGGAAGACTGGAAAGAGAGGCCACGTACTCCCGAGCAGCAGAGTCAGCATGGATTTGGCTGTGTCCATGTCCAAACTCCTCTGGTTCTTATCCTGAGACAAAAAAACAAAACAACAACAACAACGAGTCAAAACACTAAGAAAATTATGTTTTTGCAGCTTGTTGAGTGTTATTTTTTTCCACAGAACCTCAAACATTTATATAAAGATGAGCGTAGGACAGTCTTAAACAAAACTAAGATTTTAGTAATTATACTTTCATTTTTACTTAATTATTGATTTTATTTATTAAAACAAAAGAATCTATATGCAATAAAAATAAAAAAGGTAATGAATGAAAGGGAGAGAAAAAGAATCTCATCACATCTGCCCCCTTTAAAATTTTTTTTATATATATAATAATATTATAATCAAAAATAATAGTCTTCAGACTCAAGCTTGAACATTTGTAATATTTGCAAAAAATAAATAAGTAAATTATCATCCTTAACACAGGGCTATTCAACTGGTGGCTCGCAAGCCACATACGGCCCGCGGGTGACTTCCATCTGGGCTGACAATGAGAACCTTAACATCTTCTTTATTTACTAACATCTTAGACTGGAGTGATAAGAATATCTGCCTCATGTCACTTTCTGTCTGCAACAAACTAAAAGCTGGGGGTGAAACCTTTTAAATAGTTTCAAATTGTTACTTATTTTCCAACAAAACCCAAAAGTTTTTAATTTCTTGAAAGCAAGTCTTGGAGCTCATCGGGTTAAAGAAACAAAAAGCAGTTTTGATTAAAGCTGTGAATTCTGTACATTTTAAAAATCACTCAAACTCACTCTGGAGAAGTCGAAGGCATATCTGTAGATGTTTTTGAAGACTGAAGCGTCGTTGAGCTCACTGTTTAGGTAATCCAGTTTGCTCTGTAACTTCTCTGTGCAGTCACATCTGCAGACAAATCAACAACCACATGTAGTCTCAGCTGTCAGAAGCATGTCAGGTTAAAGTTAGAATAACTTACTGTAATACTGTCATCCCCCTGAGCCACTCATCTTTTGTGAAGTACCCCATGTTTGCTGCTTCTAGATACCAGGCTAAAACTAACATAAGAATCTGGAAGAAAAGGAGAACACAAACGTTTCATTCAACACTGAAACAGTTCAGAGTCTGTCCAACGAACCCACGAGGAGCCAGGCTCACATTCTCCGGCTCCACAGCGATGTCTTCACAGAACTTCTCCATGGCCTCTGGTCCGACCACCTTGTCGGGACCGGCATACTTGTGGAACCAGGCCAGGCACCGTTTACTGGAGAACTGCTTGTCAGAGCCGAGCGACTTCACACCGCAGATCTGAGGACGAGTAAAACTACAACACAGACAGAAAGCATCCGTCAGGACCGACGGGCCTCTGCAGAACTCAAAAGTGGATGTTTTCCTGCAGCAGAAACACGGCAGACTTTATGTTCACATAATGTTTACCTTGTAATTTTACACTTGTGCTCATGATCATCAGGTAGTTTCCTCTTCTTCACTGGCATTGTGGAACCTTTACTGGACCTCACTAGCTGGGCTTCACATGAGAAAAAAACAGAAAAGTTTGAGGACGATAAAAGAGCATTTATCTCCTTTTCACCTTCATAATCTGGACCTGTGCAAAAGGTCCATATTGCAACTCCAGGTGTTGGTGAGAATAAATGTGAGCATGCAAACATCTGTCTGTGAAAAACATGATGCAGATTTATCCAATCAGTGCAGCAAACAACTAAACATTCTGCAGGGATAACCCAGCCTTGACCACATCAAGCTCAGAATTTAATTTTTACATCACAAAATAACCATCACAAGCTACTTAGTCCAACAGGAACGGATGAAGCAGTGAATAGTTTTAACTATGTTTACAAATCATGCTGAGGTCAGACCAGAAATAAATCGTTAAAATGTAACAAGAAGCTTTTTCATCAGGGCTTTTAAAAACAGAACAAGTGGATGTCAAACAAGAAGTCTGATCAGTAATCTAACTAATAATCCTAACCCTTACCTGTGTGCTTCTGGCTGCCTTGTCCATTCAAATCAAACAAATTCTAGAGCAAAAAACAAACAAAAAATAAAATCTCTTCACAACATAATCGTCTTTAGGAGGAAACTGAGGAGAAAGCTTTAAAATATGCAGGATGGTAGGCACTTCCACAAATGTATTGTCTGATCCCAGCAGTGCGTCGGTCAGGTTTTTGTGATCTTCAGTCACTCTTTTAATGCTTAGACCCCACCATGTCATTTTGAAATCCATCTAAATCTAGTATTTCTGTTTTGGTTTGAAAAAAACTGTTACAAAATTCTGACATGTTCTACGTCTACGGGGCTCCGCGAATGTTTTCATGGTGTTATGGAAGTAAATGATGCCTTGCTTCCTAAATTTCAACCTTTGACGACCTCTAAATCTTAAATGGGTGGCCCAATTTTAAAGGAAAACCAGCTCTAAAACAAGTTAAAAAAATTCTCCAAGTCCCTAAGGATGGTGGCACTCGAGGACCAGGATTAGACTAAAACATTTCTAAAAACACGGAGGAAAGTCAATCCTTGACGATCAGACTTGAACGTCAGATATATAATCAACAAAAAATGATAAGTATTAGTTGTGGTGCAGTTTTTCACATTGTCACCTTTAAAAAGGACAGTCTTCTGAATCAGGCAGGTAATTGCCTGAAATGTTTTCTGTATTGAAAATTTAATATCATAGTTAAACCTATAAATACTTTTAGGGTATTTGACAGGAAGTTACTCACGAATATTTAATAAATTCTTCAAAATACACAATTTCTTTAGATGTTGCTTCAACAAACATCTAAATACATAACTATATTCTTCACTGAAGTTGTTAAAATTACTGATTCAAGATGGAACATGAATTCTGTTTGTTACTCATTGACATTTCTAATAAAGACACGTGACGCAACTTTTACCCGTGTGTCATCAAACAGCAGAGAGGGGGAGAAAAGGTGCATTTTTCCTCTGAACCGTGTCCAGACATGAAGTTTGCTTCATAACAAAACGCAGACATCACGTACAGCACGAGCAGGTTATTATGCTTTTGTTTTAGACAGATTAATTTCAAAATGACGACTTTTTTAACACGAAGAAAGATGAAAATTGTTTTGGCAATCCCAAGCTTTAATATGACATTAATAGCGTCTCATGTTAAAAAAAATCTAAGTAGACGGACCGAGCATTTAAAAAACGACAGCAGTTGATGCTAACTAACGTTAGCGCTAAACGTACAAACGTAGGCTTCAATAATTAGCTTTTTACGATTCGTGGTTTGGTCAACCGTGATAAAAACACATCTATAAGTTAAGTTAGATGAGAGAAACACGTTTGTTAGAGCCACATAATTCTAAAACGAACATATTCCGGTGAACTTCTTTTGTTAGCATGCTAACGTTAGCGGCACATCTCGGGTTCCAGAGCGATTTCCCTAACTTTAAAACGTTTGGTAACTTATCGTACGCCTAAAACGCTGATCAAATCAGTTTTTACATACATTCATTAACATCATATCACTGATTTGTTTCATAGCTGACACGATATAAAGTGTTGTAATTCCTCTTCGTACTTACTCTGTTCAGATTTCCTGTGACTGACAAATCAATTCCACCTGCTTCTCCTCCTTCGCTGTTTCAGCTGTAGCCGGTGTTTCCGTGGGGACTGGACCATCACCGCGTAGGGGTGTCCGGCTAAATAAACATTTATATTGTAAAATAATTACAACACAAAAAGTGCATTTTAATAATTGTAATTAAGGAATTTATTAATATAATTAAATTTAGGAACAGAATTTATCATTTGAATAATAATAAATACCTGGGAAAATGGGATAAAAATAAAGACACACCCCTTGGGCGGGACAGGAAAGTGGAACGTGCCGAATTCTTAAAGGAGCCATTCGTTTGTTGACAATCACATGTTGAACATAAACACCCACTTTTAATTTGGGAACTTGTACTTTAATTTTAACCTATAGGTATGATCAAGCCTTTTGCATTTGTTATGCTAATATTTGTCTTTATGATTGAAATGTTAACGCTAAGTCAAGCTTGATGGCTAGATTAGATCCAGAGTTGTAAAGTAACTAACTACAACTACAAATACTCTGTTACTGTTTATTACTGCAGAATTTTTGGGTATCTGTACTTTACTTGAGTAACTATTTTTCACCCTATTTTTTACTTCTACTTCTTACATTTTCTTTCTCCTGACATTTAAAAAAGTCATGGATTAGAAAGTTGTTACTTTTATTTCATTTTTGCTTTTCGTTCCAGCTTGAAAAAAAATATTATCCATATAAATTGTGCCTCCTAGATAACTGAATTCAACTGTGGTTGAATTCAGTTGAATGAGAAGTATAAATATATAAAATTCTGATACCGTATTAGTTTGTACACAAACAAATCATGTCAGCAGGACATAATCATTAAAATAAAAGGACTGTATTTAAGAAGTATTTGTACTTCATGAATTATATTATTGCATTTGGCCACAGCCCTCAGATAGATTTTCATTTTGGGGAAAATGTTTGGGCAGCCTTGATATATGTATATAAACTGAAACAGCTAGACTGCATCCTCAATTTAACATAAACTAAAAGCACTCGGAGAGTGCAAACCTCTGCCAAGGCCAATTTCCCCTATCCTGCAATAATGAAGAGTCCTTCAAAAACTTCTGGATTATCACCAAAATTTAATGGTGTGTTCCTGTGGCCAGTATCCACCTGTGGTAAAAAATTTCATGAAAATCCATCCATAAGTTGTTGGGTAATTTTGTCCACAGACAGACATACACGACCAAAAACAACCTCCTCAGTGGAGGTAATTATTTTAATGCAACAGTCATTTCTGCATGTTTTGGGGAGGTCACCTCTTAATAAATGTCATTACAGAAAACCTAACTGCTCATTTTAAATCAATACTTTTACTTTTAATACTTAATTACAATAAATATCAGATATTTTAAGACTTTTACTTAATTAATATTCCTAAAGGAGACTTTAACTTTTGCCAAAGTAATTTTTTGGTAAGATACTTGTACTTTTACTCAAGTATCACTGATTAGATCGAAGTTGGATTATTGTAATTCATTATCTGGATTTCGCAAAAACAAAAAAAAACTCAGTTCTTTGTTGATCCAAAATGCTGCTGTTAGATATTTTGAGAGGTAATAAGAAATATAGATTCTCCAGTTTTAAGTTTGCTCCAATGGCTCCCTGTCAAATTCAGAACAGAACTTAAAATCTTACTCTAACACACAAGGAAAGGAAATTTTTAAACTTTAAGCAATGTGTGTTTAAAAGTGCTTCGTGTACATTTTGTGCAATAATATTCAACAATCAGACGAGACTGTAGTATTTAGAACTTTAATTGTAACCAAATGTACTCAAGTATAGAACATAAATAACGAAATAAAAAGTGTTTCTGTCGAGATTTGTGTTTCTATTTTACTCACACACACAAAAATTTACTTGGTCACATTTTTCAGTGTCCACCTTTGATTAAGTTCGCATTTAATTTCACAATGTCCAGAGCATGGGTTGTTACACACCAAATAAATAGTTTGAAAATGAAAACTGTCCAAAAAAAACAAACAAACACTAATCACATTTGTTCAGTTGCGCTCAAAGGTCTTAATAAGAAAACTAAACATCAGCATTAAAAGAAAGGCTGATTTTAATTTCTCGACTCTTTCACGCCCGGATCACAACGTGTGAGATATTTTCTGCTGGAGAGAAAAAAATAAAAATAATCAGAGCAGCATGCTGTTGAAAGTGCACATATACATACACACACATACACACATCTATAATACACACCATGCACCCAAACACACACACACAATTTGGCAAAATACTCCTCGGTTGTTTCAACAAGTCCTTCACCGTGTCTACTTTCACTTGATCTTTTGCATTCCCTGTCAAAAAACAAACAAACAAAAAAAAAATAACAGCGAAAAGGAGGGATGCAGGATGACAGCTGCGGCATCATGTGAAAGCAAAACATCAGCTTCTGTCCTCCTCTCGCCGCACATTTCACCTCCGTCTCATCTGCAGTCCACGTCTGAGAAAAGGTAAGGCAGGAAGTATTTATTTTATTATTTAACTATCGTGGTTTTCTTCTGAAATGCTGGCAAAAAGAAGCCCCTGCTGCCACGACTCTCCTCTGATCGAACACTAGAGGGCAGCAGAGACACACAGACGGTCGGCGCCGTGACTCAACGCCACATATTCGTCTCGACCGGCGTCTCGGAAACAGAAACAGCGTCCACACCGTGAACGAACGAGCTCCAGCTGTGCAGGCCAGCAGACAAAACAAAACAAAACAAAAAAAAAAACAAACAGTAAAAGTGCGCTCCGTCCTCCTGGTCTAGGCCATGTAGATGAAGGTGTTGATGTCCGACTCGTCCCTTTTTATGTACTTGTGTTCGATGAGCCACTCGATCTGCTCCTTTATCATCTTCTTCTGAGGCAGGAACATGTTTTTCAGGATTTCCACCAGCTCCGTCTGCAGCTGGGCATTGCTGATGCGCTTCCTCATCTTCATGATTTGGATAATAGCCTCCTGAACACAAAGTAAAGCCATAAAAAAACAGGATAATTCAACTCTTCCTCCTTGTAAACACACAGCATGGCTTGTATTTATTTCTCTTACCTGAGTTCTGAGTATTCTGAGCTGAACGATGCCTTCGTTCTCCTCTTCTCTCATCCGCTCCGTCGTCAGCTGCAGCCGACCGATCAGATTAATCTTTCCTCGCTTCTGAACTTTGGAGTTTTTTCTGAGAATAACAACAAAAACAAATAAATTCTCTAAATATTCTAAGCTTCAGACTGAGAATAATTAATGAGCAAATGAATAAAAACAAGGAGAACTTCAATATCACGATGAAGTATTAATTAAATTAAATAAATGAGTAACAGGAAGTAAACGACAAGGCGTACATGAGTGAAAAGTCCTGGTTGACGTAGAAGAGCGTGGCGTCTGTGAAGTCTTTGGGCGAACTAACCGGAGGGTCGTAAGACAACACCTGCCTCTTCAGTTTAGGGAAAGCAACAAGAGACTGAAAGAGACAGAAAATAAAACATTTAAGATTTAAGACCTTCAACATTTTGGTTTTAACAGGACTGTTTTTACCGTAACTTAGCAATCAAGCTACTTCTGCTTATTTTGTGCAATTTATAAAGCATTCTGTGTTTCTAAATTTTATACTTTTTAAATTATTTAACTTAATTTATAAATATTTTCCCATAAAATACACTCAAACCTCTTCAGTTCTTTTAAAATCATTAAAATCTAATTCTGCAAACTGGTTCTAATTTTGTTTT